GAGGCCTTTTGGGGCTTCCCGGGAGGCGGATATTCCATTCAGAGGGGCCCTGAGATCCTGGCGCCGTTTTTTTTCTGTATCCCCTGACTCCAGATCCGCCCTACTTTGGCTTTTTTCCCAACTTAAAGTTGCGTCGGAAATCCACCTACACGGGGCCGAACAAGTAGGGCGGAAATTGCTGCACCCAACATAAAATAGGGCGGAAATCCACAGAAGCAGGGCGGAAACAGCAACAGAAAAGTAGGGCGGAAATTGGCATCAGCGGGGCTTGAAAAGTAAGGCGGATATTCCAAGCCCTACTTACGAATTTTCTCAAAGTAGGGCGGATCCGAAGTCAGGGGGGGCCAGGGCTTCCAGGGGCCCCGTGCTGCAAACCATCGGGGCGTCGCCTGTCTGGGTGCGCAGCCGCCGAGGGCGCCCTGTCGGAGGCAGCCCCCTGGTGGGGGGATGCTGTGAGGGCGTTTGCGGCTGGTGCCGGCGACCCCCTGTGCGAGGGGGAGAGGGCGAGGGAGCAGGTGGACGAGGAGGGGGGGGGAGGCTTCTTGGGTCTCCCATGGCCTCTTGGCGGTCTCTCGGGAGCCTCCTGGGGTCCCGTTGGGGGTCTTCCTGGGGGGCCCCTTGGAGCCTATATATATATATACATATATATATATGTGTGTGTGGGGCCTCTTGCGGGGCCCCTTGGGGGGCCTCGTGGAGGCCTTTTGGGGCTTCCCGGGAGGCGGATATTCCATTCAGAGGGGCCCTGAGATCCTGGCGCCGTTTTTTTTTCTGTATCCCCTGACTCCAGATCCGCCCTACTTTGGCTTTTTTCCCAACTTAAAGTTGCGTCGGAAATCCACCTACACGGGGCCGAACAAGTAGGGCGGAAATTGCTGCACCCAACATAAAATAGGGCGGAAATCCACAGAAACAGCAACAAAAAAGTAGGGCGGAAACTGGCGTCAGCGGGGCTTGAAAAGCAAGGCGGAAATTTCAAGCCCTACTTACGAATTTTCCCAAAGTAGGGCGGATCCGAAGTCAGGGGGGGCCAGGGCTTCCAGGGGCCCCGTGCTGCAAACCATCGGGGCGTCGCCTGTCTGGGTGCGCAGCCGCCGAGGGCGCCCTGTCGGAGGCAGCCCCCTGGTGGGGGGATGCTGTGAGGGCGTTTGCGGCTGGTGCCGGCGACCCCCTGTGCGAGGGGGAGAGGGCGAGGGAGCAGGTGGACGAGGAGGGGGGGGAGGCTTCTTGGGTCTCCTGTCTTTTCGTCGCTCACATCGCTGGATGTGTCTGGGACGGCGGGTCTACACCTCCCTTTTCCCGGCCCTCGGAGGCCCCTGCCGGGGCCCCCCGGGAGCATCAGGAAGCGCGCCGGGATGGGAAGCTGGTCCCTCCTCCTCCTCCTCCAACTAACATACTTGTAGGCCTACACTAGAAACGAGGCCAGAGAGTCTACACAACGGGAGTTTTACGTCTCCTCCTCCTTTCTCCTCCTCCCCCTCCTCCTTCAAGCGACAGCATTGTCCGCTTCTTTCCGAATGCCCCTTTGGCGTGCCTTTTCGGCTCGCCACGCAAACGGGTTTCATCAGCCCATTGTCCCTGGGATCGGGCACCCAGACCAGCGCCAGACGGGGGTGGTGGTGAGGGGGATGCTTTTCTTAGAAGCCCGCCTGCTGCTTAGAAAGCGCAGGCCCTCATCTACAGATGTGAGGCCGGCGCCTTCTAAGAAGCAGCCTGCTTCTAGGAAGCCCTCCTCCCTCCCCCCACCCCCTTGTGCGCGCCGCCAACAACGAGCCGGGATGGAAAGCTGGTCCCTGGGATAGGGTTCAGACCTCCAGAGGACCATGCTGAGACACGAAGTCGTTTCAGAGTGGATGGTGTCGGGTCGGTTGTTGCCAGCGGTGTCCCTGGCCCAAGGTGCCCCCAGGATTCCCAAGGAGGCACCCACGGCCTCCAGCGCACCCCTCTCGAGGCCCAGAGGTTCCCAGGGGGCCAGAACTTGGGCGAACAGCTGGGGACACCTTGGGCCATGGACGCCTGAATCGGGGAAACGTAGAACTCGAGTTCGCCGGAACTCGGGTTTGCCGACGCTTTTCGACAGGCCCGCCGTGGATTTTGATGGCCCAGTTTTCGTGGGATGTGTACAGCGGTGGCTCGCGTCAAATCTCATATTGGGTCTCGTCATTTTCCTGACGGCCATGTCAGGCCAACCCGAGTCCCCCGACCCCGAGTCTTACGTCTCTCCGACAACAGCAACCCCGATCGGGGGATGGCATCGTGTCGCCCGTGCACTGGCGATGACGTGCGGAGTGGATGGGGTTCCAGGCATCCGATGTTTTGTTTTTTGCATTGCGTGGTCCCTGGAAGTCCAGACCCCTTCCCCGGGGTTGGTCTTCCATCCCGGGCCGTGTTCTCGCCATCCCCGAGCCCAGCGAGGGCCCCCCCAGAGGCCGAGAACGGCCAAAAACCATCCGCCGTGATCTCCAGACCTCCTCGAGTCATGAAAAAAACACGACGGGAGGTTTTTCGCTATTTTCGGCCTCTGAGGGCCCTTACCGGGCCTCGGGGCCGTCAAAAAACGACTCGGGATGAAAAACCGGTCTCGGGGCATGGGTCTGGACCTCTGGGGGTCGCGTCATGAAAAAATCATGACGTCGGGGGTTTGGGTCTCTGGTGCCCCGAAGAGGTCTGAGGTCCCTGCCCTTGTAATATTTGTTGACGGTCCCAGGGCACGGCGAATGCTCCTGGAAGCCGGAAACGGCTAAAAGCCTTCGCCGTGACCTCTGCAAGCCGCGAGCTCAGGGGCAACGATAGGGGGGGATAGGCATAATAAGGGGGATGCAGCGACTCCCAATCGCCCATTGATTGCCGATAGCGGCCCGATAGCCCCAGCCTGCCCAGGAACGTTCGGATTCACTATCGGGGGCTTGTCGCCGATCTATCGGCGATGGATCGCCGACCGATTCCAGGTCGATGTTTCCCCCCCTATTCCTATCCCCTTCCCCTCCTCCGCCTCCTCCTCCTCCCTCCTCCTCCTCCTCCTCCTCCTCCTCCTCCTCCTCCTCCTCCTCCTCCTCCCCCTCCTCCTCCTCGCCTTCCTCCTCCTCGCCCTCGTCCTCCCCCTCCTCCCTCCTCCTCCTCCTCCTCCTCCTCCTCCTCCTCCTCCTCCCCCCCCCTGCCGTTGCCCCTCGCAAGCACGTCTGGGGAGGGCACCGTGCTGCGGCGACGCGGCGCGACCGAGAGCTTCAGGGGGCCCCTCCGCCCCAGCGCGGTGCCGCCGCGCCCCGCGCCGCGGCACGCTCGCGGGGCTCCCCCCGTGCAGTGCTGCGGGGCTCGTCGGGGAGGCCGCCGAGAGGAGATGATTGTGTACTCTCCAGTCGTTAAACCCAGACCTCCTCGCGTCGTGAAAAAATCACGACGGGAGGTTTTTCGCTATTTTCGGCCTCCGGGGGCCCTCGCCGGGCCTCGGGACCGTCAAAAAACGACTCAGGATGACAAACCGGTCCTGGGGAAGGGGTCGAGAACTCTGGAGTCGACGTAATGAAAAAATCATTACGTCGGGGGTCTGGGGTCGTTGAAAGCAGGTATTGTCTGGATCCCCAGCTCCCAATCTGCTGCGGGCGCCCTCCTGCGTCAAGAAGCTATGATGTGCCTTTGGCTGTCGTCTTGCCGTTCTCTGGGAAGGCCTGGACTTATGTCGGGCACGTCCCCCTTACAGGGGGATTTTTGACGAAAAATGGAACAAACGTTCACCAAAAATACACCAAAAAGGCAAAACAATATTCGAAAAATAGTCCCCAGACTATTTTGGGATTATTTTTGGATTATGTTTGGGTATTTCTTTTTGTTCGTCGAAAATTCCCCTGTAGGGGGACAGGCCCGACTTAAGCCTGGACCCAATCTACTATGTCCGCCGTCCTGCCTCATGCTTCCACCTGCCTCTTCCGACCGGCGTGCAAGCTTCTGGCACGTACATTTGTCGCTACCCGTGCCGTCGGCCCCCCCCCCCCCTTGCGTATAGCAGGAGGGCTGGGGGAGGCGAGCGGCGGGGGGCGGGGGGGGTCATCACGACAGGAGGTATGGGCTTTGAGAAGGGCCCAAGCATCCCCCCCCAGGGCGACGCGCCAGTGTAAATTGCCTTCGTGCTTAGATATCAGCCTTGGCTCAGTTGTCTGGCCGCTTCCAGAGTGTTTCACGCCGCCGTCCCTGTGGTGAGCTAGCTCTGACCGCGCTGCGGAACAAGAACAAACACGACAGGAGGCATGGGCTTTGCTCGGCCTCCGGGAGCCCTCGCGGGCCCCCCGGGGCCATGCGTTCCGGTCGTCGAAAAAGCAGGTGTTGCAGGTGTTTGGGGCGTCCAGGTCCCGATCTGCTCGAGGCGTCCGCCTGCTTCCGTGGTCGAGCGGTGTCGCCCCTGCCCTCCTCTGCCGGGGGCGGGCGGAAGCCCGATCTGCTCCCAACGCCCTCCCATTTCTTCATGTCTCTAGCCACTTCTTCCGACCTGCGTGGAAACAGAAACAGAAACAGAAACGGTTGCAGGTGCACTTTGCGCGGTCTCGCGCCAATTATCTGTTGCTGTGCCCCAGCCTCGGTCATACCGCCCTCTGGACTTCTCCTTGCGGGCCGCGAATCAAAAAAGTGTAAACAGAAACGGGTCGCGATGAAACATTGGTCACGGGGAATGGGTCGAGACCTTGGAGGTCTCGACCTCAGGCGGCGCCGCGGGCTCGTGACGAGTTTCAAGTGCGCGTATATGTGCAAAGCGGCCTTCGCGCAAAGGGCGCCGCGTTGTTTGCCAAAGGGTCGGGCGACCCTTCGAACGACGAAAAAATGGGATGAATGTGTTCTGCATGCTGGTCAGAGGTGAGACCTTTGGGGATCGACGGTGTGAAATTAGCCTGGCGAAGGACCCAACCATATGCAGTCGTGAATACCGCAAATATGAATATCGTTTTCGGTGGCGCTACCTCTGGGTAGGGGAACCGCATGCGGACACCCCCACTGGGGCCTACGGTGGAGCTCCCTATGGGGCCACGAAGCGCTGCCCTGGGTGGGGGAACCGCATGCGGACACCTCCACTGGGGCCTACGGTGGAGCTCCCTATGGGGCCACGAAACGCTGCACTGGGTGGGGGAACCGCATGCGGACACCCCCACTGGGGCCTACGGTGGAGCTCCCTATGGGGCCACGAAACGCTGCCCTGGGTGGGGGAACCGCATGCGACACCAGCCACTGGGGCCTTCGGTGGAGCTCCCTATGGGGCCACGAAACGCTGCCCTGGGTGGGGGAACCGCATGCGAACACCCCCACTGGGGCCTTCGGTGGAGCTCCCTATGGGGCCACGAAACGCTGCCCTGGGTGGGGGAACCGCATGCGAACACCCCCACTGGGGCCTTCGGTGGAGCTCCCTATGGGGCTACGAATCGCTGCCCTGGGTGGGGGAACCGCATGCGAACACCCCCACTGGGGCCTTCGGTGGAGCTCCCTATGGGGCTACGAAGCGCTGCCCTGGGTGGGGGAACCGCATGCGATCACCCCCACTGGGGCCTTCGGTGGAGCTCCCTATGGGGCCACGAAACGCTGCCCTGGGTGGGAGAACCGCATGCGAACACCCCCACTGGGGCCTTCGGTGGAGCTCCCTATGGGGCCACGAAACGCTGCCCTGGGTGGGGGAACCGCATGCGAACACCCCCACTGGGGCCTTCGGTGGAGCTCCCTATGGGGCTACGATACGCTGCCCTGGGTGGGGGAACCGCATGCGAACACCCCCACTGGGGCCTTCGGTGGAGCTCCCTATGGGGCCACGAAGCGCTGCCCTGGGTGAAGGAACCGCATGCGAACACCCCCACTGGGGCCTTCGGTGGAGCTCCCTATGGGGCCACGAAACGCTGCCCTGGGTGAAGGAACCGCATGCGAACACCCCCACTGGGGCCTTCGGTGGAGCTCCCTATGGGGCCACGAAACGCTGCCCTGGGTGAAGGAACCGCATGCGAACACCCCCACTCGGGCCTTCGGTGGAGCTCCCTATGGGGCTACGAAACGTGTGAGAGGTGTGCCGAGAGCAGAGGCAAGGAGAGGGAGGAGGGAGGAGGGTTAGGAGGGGGAGGAGGAAGGAGGAAGGTGGGACGCGGGGCGCTGTCTCTTCAAAACGAGGACCCAACACCACAGGATGGTTGAGAAAAATATGGGGACGATTGTTCTATTATGGTTTGCTTATTTTTGAGAGTTTGCTGGTATCTTTAAACTTTTCGTCCAAAACCCGCCTGTAGGGGAACATGCCCGACCTGACCCTAGGATCCTCAAGAAGCCCTCTTGGTGCTCTCTGGGGCCGTCCTGGGGCCCTCCTGCGCAACTGAAATTCTGAAATGCCCTCCCTGGGCAGCACTGCAGCCAGCTGGCCAGAGCAGCCGCGGCCACCGCGGACGCTCGCAAGACCGAAGAGGAGGTAACGTCGAAGTCTTGAATCCGCCGGCCCCCTTGTGGGGCCACCAGGCTGTAGGAGCGAGGTTCGCAGTTTCCTGTGCCAGTTGTAGCTTGTAGTTTCCAGTGTTACAGTTCTGCTTCTTGCTGGTTACTGTAACTAGTTGACTTATTGCTGGTTACTGTAACTAGTTGATTGACCGCGCGAGGGGGGGGGAGGCCCAAACCAGATTTTTAGCACCCCCTGGGCGCGTTGTCTGAATTGCTGGGGGGGCTCGAAATCGACACCCCTCACGCAGATCCGCGGGGTCAGGGTCCAAAAACACAAGGGATTTGCCACATTTCTGAAATTCGGTGCCACCCTTCACGCAGATCCGCGGGGTCAGGGTCCAAAATCACAAGGGATTTGCCACATTTCTGAAATTCGGTGCCACCCCTCACGCAGATCCGCGGGGTCAGGGTCCAAAAACACATGGGATTTGCCACATTTCTGAAATTCGGTGCCACCCCATCACGCAGATCCGCGGGGTCAGGGTCCAAAAACACAAGGGATTTGCCATATTTTTCTGAAATTCGGTGCCACCCCTCACGCAGATCCGCGGGCGGGGTCAGGGTCCAAAAACACAGGGGATTTGCCACATTTCTGAAATTCGGTGCCACCCCTCACGCAGATCCGCGGGGTCAGGGTCCAAAAACACAGGGGATGTGCCACATTTCTGAAATGCTGTGCCACCCCTCACGCAGATCCGCGGGGTCAGGGTCCAAAAACACACGGGATCTGCTACATTCTGAAATTCGGTGCCACCCCTCACGCAGACCCGCGGGTCAAACATGATGGACCCACGAACCCGGAAAGGGATATAGACATGTGGAGCATGGGCACGTTTTCACGATACCCAACGGGGCAACACCTCACGAAACATCCCAACGAACAAAAAAGAACAGAGAAACACCTCACGCAAACATCCCACGGAGACAGGTCGCGAACATTCCCGAGACACCCCTCACGAAACCTTCCAGGAGACACCCCGCGAACATCCACGAACACCCCACGAACATTCCACGACGACAGGCAACCCACTCAACCAAGGCGTGTGGTCGTGCTAGGGAGTGTCGTGCTGGGGTGTGGTCGCGCTGGGGGGTGGTCGTGCTGGGGCGTGGTCGTGCTGGGGCGTGGTCGTGCTGGGGCGTGGTCGTGCTGGGGCGTGTCGTGCTGGGGTGTGGTCGTGCTGTGGTAAGGTCGTGATGGGGCGTGGTCGTGCTGGGTGATGGTCTTGCTGGGGTGGGGTCGTGCTGGGGTGGGGTCGTGCTGGGGTGTGGTCGTGCTGTGGTGTGGTCGTGCTGGGGTGTGGTCGTGCTGGGTGTGGTCGTGCTGGGGTGTGGTCGTGCTGGGGAGTGGTCGTGCTGGGGTGTGGTCGTGCTGGGGTGTGGTCGTGCTGGGGGGTGGTCGTGCTGGGGGGTGGTCGTGCTTGGGGGGTGGTCGTGCTGAGGGGTGGTCGTGCTGGGGCGTGGTCGTGCTGGGGCGTGGTCGTGCTGGGGCGTGGTCGTGCTGGGGTGTGGTCGTGCTGTGGTGAGGTCGTGCTGGGGTGTGGTCGTGCTGGGGTGTGGTCTTGCTGGGGTAGGGTCGTGCTGGGGTCGGGTCGTGCTGGGGTGTGGTCGTGCTGGGGTATGGTCGTGCTGGGGTGGGGTCGTGCTGGGGTGGGGTCGTGCTGGGGTCTGGTCGTGCTGGGGTGTGGTCGTGCTGGGGTATGGTCGTGCTAGGGTGGGGTCGTGCATTTCGCTCGAGACATCCTGCCAAAATTCCAGGAAATCGTACAAAAACAAACGAATTAGTCGAGACATCATCGAAATTCCTTCGCGCGGGGCGGCTTTTTTCCCCGCGTCGCGTCGCTCTGTTAAAACAAAGCGTTTCGGCTCCAGGATCCCGAATCCTCGGCAAACTCTGCGGAGGGCCACGTTTCGCTCGAGACATCCTCAACCACGAAAAAGTGGCACCAATGCAGAACTTCCGCCCACGTCCCTACTAGAACGCAATGCCCGACCACACACCAACTTCGCCAGCCAAGCACCTGTGATTTATCCGATCGGGGATTCAAAACAAGCGTTTCGCTCGAGACATCCTCAAATTTTAATCTGCCGGCCTCCTTCGACCTCGATATTTATCAGGGAAAAAATCCGCCGGCCTCCTTCAAGTTGGCACCGGGGGACAGGTTTACCTACTAAAAGAGAACCCTGGGCCGGAGCCCTTTCCGGGAAAAACACAAAGGATTTGCCGCGTTTCTGAAATTCGGCGCCACCCCTTACGCAGATCCATCGCAAGGCGTGGTAACCCAAACTGCGAGAACCCCCTCGGCCCTTTTGACCAAGCCCGTAAACCATACACGTCTTACCAATCGCCAGGTGTGGTAACCCTCTTGTGATCAGTTGGTTTTGCTGATTGCGAATCGGCTTCGCATGAAGTTCCGATAATGCTTCACGACAGCGCCAAGGCCTCATGACTTAGCTCTTCCATGGCCCATGCTCCGAGAGAGGGGGCCAGCGACAGGGGGCGAAACCCTTACGGATAATAAGAGAAATATATGTTATATCCAGAAAGTATATCATATAAAGATCATAAATAATGGGGCCAAGCCACAACACATCTTTTTGCAACATATACATATATATAATGGCTTGATTTAAGGCGAAGTTTTCGTACTCAACCGACTCAACCTGTTGTTGCATCATTTTCAACATCATCGTCATCATCGTCGTCATGAGATTCATCATCGTCCGCGTCATCGCCATCATCATCACCATCTCCTCATCGTCGTCATCAT